TAAGTTAAACAAGGAGTCTTTCTCATGTCGCTCTTGTTAGAAAATGGTTGATAAGAAGTAATTTTGCAGCCTTTTCGAAGCCCCTCATCTTTGAGCGCTTATTGCGTACAGACACTGAAATACATTTTTCTGAAATATAAATTTGCTTATGGTGTTCGATCTGGACCACTGAAATATTTTTTTTTTGTTTTTTTTTATTGTTAGAATGTGATCCACTCTAAATTTTTGACGGTTCAGATCGGTCTCCGCGCGTAATAATTTTCCCTCATCTTTAAGCATTTTTCTTGCAATATATTACACTCCACAATCTTGGTTGATACTTGTGGCTAATTCTCAATTGAAGTATGAATCCAAAAGATCTTGATCTTTAAGCATGTAAACTCAACACATACATATCACGGGTGAGCAATTGTTCCTCCACAAATTTATAATTTTTTTTTTAACGTAAATAATAAAATTAATAATTCTGCACTCCCCATTCGCTATATTTTTTTACCCAATACTTCATAAAATTATAAATTTGCTGATTTTTCCATCCTAAAAAATAATATCGGTTCTGCCCCTGACACCATCAATGTACAATTTAAATGTAATTTTCATTTTTAATGGTTAAAATGGAGCCCACTCTAAATTTTTGACGGTTCAGATCGGACGCCGCACGTAATAATTTTCTCTCATCTTTAAGCATTTTTCTTGCAATATATATTACACTCCACAATCTTGGTTGATACTTGTGGCTAATTCTCAATTGAAGTATGAATCCAAAAGATCTTGATCTTTAAGCATGTAAACTCAACACATACATATCACGGGTGAGCAATTGTTCCTCCACAAATTTATAATTTTTTTTTTAACGTAAATAATAAAATTAATAATTTTGCACTCCCCATTCGCTATATTTTTCTACCCAATACTTCATAAAATTATAAATTTGCTGATTTTTCCATCCTAAAAAATAATATCGGTTCTGCCCCTGACACCATCAATGTACAATTTAAATGTAATTTTCATTTTTAATGATTTGGTTAAATTATTAACAAAAAAAGATAACATTTTATTATTAGAAGGTAAACTTATACCATTCTTGCATAATCATCAACAAAAAAAGAGAAAATATTTACTATCATTAAAAAAACGTGGCTTCATGGGAACTCAATGCACAAGCATTGATTAATGGCTTATTTTCTTCTGATGATCTGTCAACAAGAAATTTCTCATCATGATGCTTTGGATTTACACATGCTTCACACTCTATTGTATTATTTTAATTGATGACAAATTCCAACTATTTTCCTATTGATCAAAGAAAGTTCAAAATTCAATTAGAAGTTATTAGAGCTCTGATTCTAACAAATTTATAGTCAAATCAATCGTAAATAAATCAAGTCTTTAAAATATTTTTGAAAACTTTTTGGAAATATTTGGAAGGTCAAATGGAGATTGAATTTGGTTATAATCGAATTGAGCGTCTCGACAAGACAAATCCAACGAGCTCAAACTCGCTTCATTTCGACATCCTGAATGAGGCGTGGTCACGTCGGATCCCACAGTACTTGGGTTTCCTGAAAAGCTCGCCAAGGAGGTCCCAGGCCTCGTGGGACCTTTGGAGGATCTAATATGAGAAGTAACGATCTTGGGACCTCCGAACGAGTCTCAAAAGAGCTCAAGAGGATGAACAGTGCACGTGTCACTGAGCATGATGGCTCTTTTCGTAAAATTCATCTGTCTGGACCTTAAGCTTAAGGAATGAACATGTATGGGGCAGTCTCGTCAACGGTCTTTGCACGGGTACATTTTTACCAGCCAGCTACAACCCCATGCCACAGGGACGAACGTCAACCAAGCAGATACCAGAGGTGATGCTAGTTTGACCACGATCGACTCTGAGCATAGCTATAATGGTGTAGAACTCAATTATAGTGTCTTGTTACTCAATGAGGATGCCTCGCGTACGCTGCATAAAAAATGGATGCCAACAACCGTCACCCGACTAACAACATTGTAGCCACTTTCAACCGTTATCTCAAAACTATTGTTGCTATTGTCAGATAATCATTGCCTAGCTATCACCACCGTTGGTGATATCAACACCCATATACAACCCCTGTCATTGGTTTTCTGCATTGTGACTGAGTTGCTCTGCTTCCCTAACAATTTCTGTCACTCTTGTGAAAGTCATGTTGACAACAACCACTCTTGTAATTTTTACTTATGCTATTTAAGGGTAAGTCAAATCTTGCAGCCTACATATATATGGAGAATCATTTCATTTAGGATGAATTTTGTGATTTTTCCCTTTTTTTTTTTGGATTTTCCACAGAAAAATCTCCTGCGTTTATGTCAGCTCTTTCGTTTATCTCTGCATTTATGCTTTATCTTTATAGAATACTAAGATGTTAATGTATCACTCTATCACAATAAATTTTCTCGCACAAACGAACCCATACAATTCTTATTTTTTTACATACTTAACACCTAAAGTTTGATATGTGTATTTATATCAATTTGGTGTTACAAGCCAACGCATGAAAAATGTGTACTTAGTATAGAAAGGAGTAACAGTAGTATTTCTAATGTGAGCTTAAATATTAAAGTGCTTTCATAAATGAAAGTTTAGATGCTAGATATGTAAATATACATATTTGTGTGGAATGCATGTAAATGGCCCTATATTGCATCAAAAGTTTCATCTCAAACAATGAACACATACAATGTTAGTTTTTATACTAATCTCGACTATATAAAATGGAATGATAAACTTGCAATATTCTGAATCACTTGGGTGTCTTTCTCATTAAACTTTAGTGGTATATACATACACACCACTTAATTTCTTTGTATTTACTTATCTAACATCTAAATTCTATTTTATATATTAATATGACTTAAATCTTTCGTATCACTTTAAAAATATTACTATTTTAATTTTTTTCTAAAGTAAAATATGTATTTTTATGCAAAGATAAGATGATATAAATGTAGAAAATAAAGTTTAATATTAAATATTAAAATACTTAAAAATTTAATCCTATGTGTGTAACTCTTCTACACTTCATCCTCACTCATCAAACCACTTTTCCGGCCAAGCCTTGGAATAAGAGTGAATATTATGCGTGGAATTTGCACACACAAATTGATAGTCACTGAGCATGATGGCTCTTTTCGTAAAATTCATCTGTGTGGACCTTAAGCTTAAGGAATGAACATGTATGGGGCAGTCTCGTCAACGGTCTTTGCACGGGTACATTTTTACCAGCCAGCTACAACCCCATGCCACAGGGACGAACGTCAACCAAGCAGATACCAGAGGTGATGCTAGTTTGACCACGATCGACTCTGAGCATAGCTATAATGGTGTAGAACTCAATTATAGTGTCTTGTTACTCAATGAGGATGCCTCGCGTACGCTGCATAAAAAATGGATGCCAACAACCGTCACCCGACTAACAACATTGTAGCCACTTTCAACCGTTATCTCAAAACTATTGTTGCTATTGTCAGATAATCATTGCCTAGCTATCACCACCGTTGGTGATATCAACACCCATATACAACCCCTGTCATTGGTTTTCTGCATTGTGACTGAGTTGCTCTGCTTCCCTAACAATTTCTGTCACTCTTGTGAAAGTCATGTTGACAACAACCACTCTTGTAATTTTTACTTATGCTATTTAAGGGTAAGTCAAATCTTGCAGCCTACATATATTTGGTAGAATCATTTCATTTAGGATGAATTTTGTGATTTTTCCCTTTTTTTTTTTGGATTTTCCACAGAAAAATCTCCTGCGTTTATGTCAGCTCTTTCGTTTATCTCTGCATTTATGCTTTATCTTTATAGAATACTAAGATGTTAATGTATCACTCTATCACAATAAATTTTCTCGCACAAACGAACCCATACAATTCTTATTTTTTTACATACTTAACACCTAAAGTTTGATATGTGTATTTATATCAATTTGGTGTTACAAGCCAACGCATGAAAAATGTGTACTTAGTATAGAAAGGAGTAACAGTAGTATTTCTAATGTGAGCTTAAATATTAAAGTGCTTTCATAAATGAAAGTTTAGATGCTAGATATGTAAATATACATATTTGTGTGGAATGCATGTAAATGGCCCTATATTGCATCAAAAGTTTCATCTCAAACAATGAACACATACAATGTTAGTTTTTATACTAATCTCGACTATATAAAATGGAATGATAAACTTGCAATATTCTGAATCACTTGGGTGTCTTTCTCATTAAACTTTAGTGGTATATACATACACACCACTTAATTTCTTTGTATTTACTTATCTAACATCTAAATTCTATTTTATATATTAATATGACTTAAATCTTTCGTATCACTTTAAAAATATTACTATTTTAATTTTTTTCTAAAGTAAAATATGTATTTTTATGCAAAGATAAGATGATATAAATGTAGAAAATAAAGTTTAATATTAAATATTAAAATACTTAAAAATTTAATCCTATGTGTGTAACTCTTCTACACTTCATCCTCACTCATCAAACCACTTTTCCGGCCAAGCCTTGGAATAAGAGTGAATATTATGCGTGGAATTTGCACACACAAATTGATAGTATTCGCCATCACACCATTCGATATCACCTCAATACCACTAAATACTCACATAATTTAGCTACATTTAGTATTTTTTTTCCCAAATCTGTAACTATTTGACTAGCATATATCTCCACAAAAATCCCAACGTTGGCTTTGCTTCGGATAGGGATGTCAAAAGGGCTCGTTTTTCATGAACAACTTGTGTTATGCTCGTTAATAAGCTTGCGTTTGATTTATTCGCTAAGTTAACAAACCGAACACAATCATTTTTTGTGCTCTATATATACAAATCAAACACGAATAAAGATTTATTCATCTGTGTTCGGCTCATTTTAACTCGAAATACGCAATAAGAACATATTTTTGTGTTCGAATTATAAATGAGATGAATAAGACCGATATTTTTTTATTGAGCCAAATCAATGGTAATGGTAAGTTATTTGCCTCGCGGCACACCACAACAGTACTTTCCGTCCTGAATGAGTTTCCTTCGTTCCCTCTCGCTTCCCAAAGCAAGCGCTGTGATTGCCGCCGGCGAATTCTTCTGCAGGCCCTTCACCATCTCTCACCGCCTGAACATTTCTAATCTCGTTGTCACTCCCCGGAAGCCTTCTCCCTTTGCGCGCATCTTCCACTGGATGGCTCAAATGGAGACCGAGCAATTCACATTTGGGCCGTACAAGATAAACCCTAGCGAGGTCTTCTACTCTACGAAACTGTCATACGCGCTGGTCAATCTAAGGCCTCTGCTACCTGGTATACCTGTGTTTCATCCTATATTTTTTCACTGTGGATAATTTTATTTCTAACATTGCTCCTGCTTTGAAGATTTGAATTGGCATGGGAAATATGTAAAAGTCTGTGCCTTTATAGGACCTTCTTTATCTGATCGCAGAAGTGCTATTCTTCAATTTTGCTGGTCATTTGACATAATTTCAGCTTTTGTAATCAAAATCTACTAGAGTGATATTGGTACATAAAAAGTATGTAAATGCACTAAGATTTGAGTTGATCAGGATGTAGAAGGGGTACCTAAATGCTGATACGATGACATTGATGATCGGGCTGGGGAAAAGAACCGAGTAGAGCCCAGCAGTAACCTATTCAAAGTTGAGCACGTTTATTAAAAACCTCTTTAAGCTCGGCCTAAGCTTGGTTCGAGCTTCTGGGATACCGTTTAGGTTTGGTTCATTTAAATTTGTTATTATTCAAGTTAGATTTGAAGATTGTAAGGTCATTTTAATTGAAAATTTTAGTACTCAACATGAATTATTTGTTTTGAATTTTAAGAAGTGGAGTTAGAAGATAAAAAATACAATGAACATTGTCATATAATTGGATGAGGGAACTTAAAAGAGAAATAAAAATATTTTTGTGAGTGCACTTTAAGATTTCAAGATTTGGGATATTCATGAAGAAGCTAATTCTATGTGGGAGGATAAATTAAAATTAACAAACACTATTAAACAAGTGGTTGTAGATAAAACTACTAATTTAACCTTTTAACTTCTACATCAATATGCTTAACCATAAGAAAAAATGGTCATGACACTCATATCAAAATGTGGTTGTGTATAAATCTACTAATTTAACTTTATCTTCATCAACTAATGTTCAAATTGATAACTAGCTTAAGTTTGATTCATTTATTTTTCTTAACTTTATCCTTTACACCATTATTTATCGAGAAACTAGAGAAATAATTGATAGTTATTCCAAGTAAAATGCATGGAATGACTGCAAAGGAAGCTATTCCAATGTTGTAAAAGTGCTGGGAGTTCTCATGCCATTATGACTTACATTCGAAAGCGCTACGTGCCACTTTAAAAGCTTTCTCAAGAGGAACGGGATGTTAAACAAAATAGTCATATCAATCATCATATTAAACCGATGGCAAAAAAGCTTTTAATTTTCATGCTTCATTTTATTTCAAGTTCAAACCTTCAGTAAATATATATTTTTTAAACAAGTTAACTCCTAAACTTTGTGATATATCTAATCTAGGATAATCTAATCTTTGCTGTTATGCATTCCATCTTTGTGATAATTTATACCGTTTTTCCATCAATGGATTTGCAATGATGCTCCATCCTTTTCTCTATATCCTCATACTCATCCTCTTTATTTTTAATATTTAATACTAAAAACTTGAAACTTTCGGGTTAACATATTTTCTGGTGCTCATCCTTATTTCTCCAACTCTTGACTCTCTTTACTTATAACCTCACGTCCAATAATCATCATAAAAAATTAGCTCATCTTTTGAGTTTGTTGAACTTGCACTGTCCCTTTAATCATGGCAATATGCTTGTCTCATTGTTTGGTGCCTTAAGGTAAGGTGCTCACCTAACTAGCCTTTGTAATGTAGCTCGTCTGAGAGGTACCTGAGATGTTATGGCAGCCTTGTCTTGCATTCTTCGAAGCCCTATGTGAGCCCCTGGCTCAACTTCAGAATCATTACACTAATTAGATCTCAGAATTTAAGTTAAGGATGGGTCTCTTTGTTCTCCCTCTATTATAGGGCCCTATCAGTAGATTGCTCAATTATTCAATCCTGAAAGCTTGTATACATCTTTGTAAATACTTTTTTGTAGAATTTTCTTATGACAATTCGGTAAAAATAGTTTGTGGCTTTTCTCTGCTTCACTTTAATTCCAGATGTTCAGCGACAATATTATGCTCAGTCATATTTCCTGTAAGAGTGTCTCACCGAACTTAAGGATTTCTTATCCAATTTTTTGCCATTGTAATTTCTATTTTCTAGTGATAAATTCTTTATTATGCTAAGCGGTTTTATACATTATTCCGTCACTATAAGTTTGAGTACATTTTGTTAAGCAGGCTTCATGGATACTATTTGACCTTTCTATTATTGTTTTAATTTTAGCCTTTATAGAATATTAATGTTAAAAGTCTTACTTACTATTTCTCCTCTAATAGCGCTTTTTGGAACTTTTGCAGGTCATATCCTTTTCCAATGAAACTCTCTTCTTTGGAACTTAGTGATTAAATCAGCCCTTCACTTTACTTATAAACTCGCTTAGAAACACAAACACACATTCATGTATATATATATATATATATATATATGTTTAATATTTGGTTATAATTTGGTAAATTCTCTCAGAAAGGTAAATAAACCGTGCCCATTGCTCTAGTTTCCAGTGGTAAAGAGTTATATCTATGATAACCCATCCTTAGATTTTATGCAACCAGGAAGCATTGAAAATTTTCTTCTGGCTAGCTGGACAGCCTTGCTTGTGCCAAAAAGACGAAATTTTTACTTCTGCTATTTTATTTCCTTTAAGACTATTTTTATTACAAAATTTCCTTATCACAATCCCTAGCTGAGCTTATTGGAATGTGAATTTATTTATTTTTGCTTATGTTGATGTTGTCTGAGTTGTTTTAGAGCAAGCATAGGATTCATTTGTGCTCTATGCCAGCCTTAATAATGTTTACATGTACTTGTATGTCCAAGGCGTGGAGTTAAACGCTTTGCAGATCTCACCGCTGACGAAACAGCTGATCTATGGCTTGTTGCAAAGGAAGTGGGAGGTAAATTGGAGCGCCATCATAAAGCATCCTCTTTGACATTTGCAATTCAGGTATTTAACCATTCTGTTTGTAACAGTTTAATGTTAACATTTCAACTCCTTGTAACCGTAAGGTAAATATTGTTTTTATTTACCTTCTCTTTTTATTTAAGAAAATAGTCAAAATAGCTCCTAACTTTTTGCAGGGGGTTATTTTAGTCCTAGAGTCTACAAAAGTATCAATTTAGTCTTTAAACTATTTTAATATGAGTTAAAATAGTCGTTACTGTTGGCATCAATTTTTGATGTCGCATGTGTGAGATGTCCACTTGAGCATGTTAGGGCCGCACTCTGTGCAAATGAGTTACCTGTAACTCGAGACATCCGTTCGAGACCCATCGGCACGTTTTGAGGGGCACGTAGCCGGGGTCGTTTTGTTGGGCTTTGGCATTCGCTTGAGCGAAGGCTGGTCGGCGCTTTGTTCATTAGACGACCCCGATCGATTCAACGAATGGTATTCGTCGCACTGCTCCCGAAACTGACTCAATTTGACCCGGATGTCAGTGAAATCATCGAGATGACCCCGAACGACAAAACGGAGCGCGTGAGCGTGTCCGAAATGTCGATTTCACTTGGAAAGGACATTCATTTCGTTATGGTTTTGCGGGCAAACTAAAATGCATGGAATTATCGTGTTTTGGCTCAACTGATAAAAAGTGGCCTGAACGACCTCGATCGACGAAACAGACCGCACCGATGCGTCTGAAACGTCGACTTTAGTCAAGAATGACGCCCACTTCGCTTTGAGGGCATATCGGGGTTAAAATACGGGAGATATATTATAATTATTATATTATAATTCTATAATATATTTAAAAAAAATCATTTTCTTCCCCCACATGGCAGCTCACCCTCTCTCTCCCCCTATTTTTTCACTTTCTTCTCACCCACGCAAAAAAAAAAAGAGCTGATCCCATGCAATTTAAGGAAAAAAAAGGATAGTAAAAAAACAAAAGTATTATCCTATCTCTATCCTATTTACAGAAAGAACACTCCTCTCTCCCCAAGGATTGCATCTTATCGTAGGCCTCCCCCTTCTTGCTCCTATGCGCGATAAAAAGAGACCTCTAGCTCCTACACGGGCGGAAAAAAAAACTCCCGCTCCGCTCCTCCTTGCCGACTCGCAAAAAGAAACCCCCGCTCCTCCCTGCCCGATTCGCGAACTCTCGAACTGATGCCTCTTCACCGACGACAGCACTGACGCCGTAGCCGCCGACCAACACCGCTCCTCCTGCCGCCGGCCAGCCCTTCTATTTTTCATTTTTTTTTGTTCTTTTCTGCTTCGTTTCTGGTCGGCCAAGTTTATCCCGTCGCAGGTTCTCCTCGCCGGCGTCATTTCCGCTCGCTGAAACTCCTCCCTAGTCGAATGGCACCTCCAGCCGAGCTTCCTCGCTAGAACCGCCGACCACCACTGCCGCTTACTTCCTTTTTTCTTTTAGCCGGTCAACCTTGCCAGATCTCCTTCATTCCACCAGATTTTGCCTCGTCGGCGTCATGTTTTTGCTGGAGTAAAATAGTGGGGAAAAACTTCAATTTTTTTGGGCTTTCCCTCAATAATTTCCTTCACTCTTGGCGCTCACCACCGACAAGCTAACATCCGTCATCTCTCCGCCTAATTTTTCCGGCGACCACACACCTCGCCGGTCCACCACGAAGTTGCTGGGCAGCAAGCATCAACGTCATTCGGGAGGATACGAGACACTTTTACCTCACGTGCAAGCTCCCGACGGACTTTTTTAGGCTTCGTGCAAACCACGCAACGGTATAACCCTTCTTCCCTTTCGCATTTTACTTCCTAGTCGGCCTTAGGTTGTAGGTTTGATCGCGCACACTGGGTGTGTGCGCCGGCGTAAGTCGGCGTGGCGATGCGCGTATGTGATGGATCGATTGTTTTCCTAGAGGTGATCTATCAGATAGGATTCCCTCACGCAACTAATTTTCCTACGATAGCCAAGTGAATCCTATTTGACTGTGAGCCATAACACAAAAATCCTAGAGGTTGGAGCTCCCTTCGCTTCCCTTTGTTTTGGTTGTCCCGATCTTTTAGAAAGATCGAAAAGTAGATCTTTGCAAAATGAGAAAATGCGAGTCATTAGCTCATTTTGCAAAGCTCGGAGGCGTCGTGAAATCGGGAAGAGCATTGTCGCTAGCCGATTTCATGAGGAGAACTTTCCCCTTTGGAGATCTAGGGAGAAGTTCCCCACTTGTCTCGCCAAAGAAAAGACGACAATCGTCATCTTTTTATGTATTGACCCTAGGTTCCCCGGTAAGGTCGTTAGCAGGGGAGTGACTCCCTATATGTTTGCATATTGCATTTTGTATGTCACATAGCATGTCACTTCACCTCGTCCGGTCGCCCCGACCCGGAGAGTATTTCACTTCGCTCCGTCTAGTCGTTCCGGCCCGGTGAGTATTTCACTTCGCTTCGTCCGGTCGTCCCGAATCGACGAGCATTTCAATTCGCTCCGTTTAGCCGCCTCGACCCGGCGAGCACTTCACTTCGCTTCGACCGGCCGCCCCGACCCGGTAAGTATTTCACTTCGCTTCGACTGACCGCCCCGACCCGATAAGTATTTCACTTCGCTTCGTCCGAACCCCCCGGTCCGGCGAGCATTTCACTTCATTTCGCTCGGCCACCTCGGCCCAACGAGCGCTTCACTTCGCTCTGAATGGCCGCCCTGACTCGATGAGCACTTCACTTCACTTCATCCGGCCGCCCCGCCCTGGCCCGGTGAGTACTTCACTTCACTTCGTCCGGTCGCCCCAGCCCAACGAGCACTTCACTTCGCTTCGTCCGGCCGCCTCGACCCAACGAGCACTTCACTTCGCTCCAACCGGCCGCCCCGTTCCAGTGAGTATTTCACTTCACTTCGTCCGGCCCAGCGAGACATGGTGGCAAGAATTTGACTAACCCCCATCGATTTTTACCTTATTTGAGGGCAGACGGTGATTGCCCTACTTCGGCGAATACCTTGTGGGTTAGGCAAATTCTTGCCACCATTTCTCTTGATATCTCGACGCTGCACATTCGACGGTGAGGGGTTTACTTGTCTTTGCTTTGAAGAGTGTATAGTGTCTCTTTTTGATTAATAAGCAAGGCTACAATAGATGCTTTATATTCCAATTGGGAACACCCCTAAAAGTCTCTCGTTGATAACATGTTTTATCGAATAGACCACTTTGTCAGTCTCGATTGATCTATGTTTAGCGGGATACGCATGTCCCAAACTTTTTGAGAGTGCCTCATTCGATTTGAGTCAGTTTGACTTTTGGCTAAGCTCTTGATGAGAGTATTTCATTGCTAAGACCATTATACATGTCTAAGCATTTGATTTAGTCAGTTACTGTGAACCTGAGTAGGATTTGGTACCTCACCTATCAAGAGCCTTATTGACCTTTTAGTCTGTTCTTGGTGATAGAGCATCACTGTGAGATTGATCCTCTCCCATATCCATCCTGATGTATATGTTTTGTTTGACTTGGTTGATTTTTATCACATTATCGATAGTCATGTTGAACTGATCAGAGCATTCTGCCCCTATAAGTCAGTCCATGGCTCGTCGAGATACCTCGATATCCGACGTTACTGATTTGACCCTACTTATGTGACCGAGATATTTTCGCGTCTCTTGATACTCCGACTCCAATTTTTGGAGGTTGTTGAGATGGTTCCAAAAGGAATCACGCCCCTCAGTCGAACTTATCTTAGGTTTGCCTTTGATGATTTTTTAGGTTGAATCTAAGATAGATCCCGAGGATAAACTTGGACCAAACCATGTATGCACATTCTTTGGATTTGCAAATCCTCATAGTTTGGTGGATTCAAACTAAGTCATGATGTCCGAATCCCTTTCTTTAATGAACTTTCATCTAAGTCCTGAGAATATCTCAGAATGACTATATGGATGTCATTGAGATGCTAGTAGTTTCATAGACTATTTAGATTTCTTACTTTTCCATTCAATTAGACCGATGAAAGCTTAATAAGTAATGAATCATGAAATTCTAAGAATCTTTATTTGGGTGAATTTTGAGTCAAAAAAATTACTTTATTACAAAGAAGCTCTACTAGATATAGTAATTCCCAGGAAAAAAATAAAAAAAAAGTGTAAAAGGCTTCAGAAAAATAAAAAATGTCCAACACTTCTGAGAATAAGCTTGAGGTGAGCGGGAAATCAAAAGTTTCGCTATAAATAACTTTTTGATTTCAAAATTCTTCTGATAGGGTCCTTTGAATATTAAGGTTCAGAGAATTGTTAATGATATTGGGATGACTGATAAATTATTAATGGATTTAAAGATATCTCCAAAATGAAAATATTTTTTTAACACCTGGATACGAATGACGATGCCTATTTAGGCTAAGGGTGAAAATAATTAAAGGAAAGGGGCTAGGGAAGAGTACTTAGGGAAAATCTCACCTGGACTTGAATTTTGCAAACATTATGTTTTGCATGGTATAACTGGTCATGAATATGAGATGTCTGCATGAGAGCTTCTCATACCAGTTCGATTTGGTATATCACGGCAGATCCCTCCTGATAACGGCTTATGCCGGGGATAATATATATATATATATATATATATATAGATCCCAACAAAAAATATATGAATGGCATGAAAGACTCTTAGTAGTTCCGTGGGCATGTTGTACAACATAGCATACACCCACATTTTTCTACGCTTTATGCATTGACCCTCTGGGTCCGACAGTCCTTCCTTAGAAGTTGACTTGCCTTTGTGTGTGGGATTCTGCCCACCACCTTTCATGCTTAATGCATCGGCCCTCGAGTCATGACAAGTTTCCTTTAGAAGCTGACATGTCTTTGTTGTGGGATTTCACCCACTACCTCATTACACTTTATGCATCGACTTTCAGGTCGTGACGACCCTTCCTTCGTGGGTGGTAACTCACTTGTGTTACGCCTTGTGCGTCGGCCCTCTGGGTTCGACAGTCATTCATTCGGAAGTTGACTTGTCTTTTAGTGTGGAATTCTGCTCATAACCTCTTA